GAAAAACCTCTGTCTGGAGTCTCATTGGAAATCATAGAATCCAGGCTAGCGAACCTTACAAAAGGATATCACTGGGCTTTTGCAGGCCATAGCTATTACTAAAAACTTGGCAATCTTTATTGTGATTTCCAATAGAAATTAAAAGGAAGATCGTAATTTCTTGATCGGAGAAAAAATCAAAATTTTTGGTAATTGGATTTATGAGTGCCAGACACCATGGGTGGTACATTGGGCAGTGCAGCGATAGATAGGTGACTGACTCAGCTTTTGTATCTGAGCAAATGGTTGTATGAGAGACCACTATATTTTCCTATAGTCTCCATAATAAGTAGTGTACCAGTCGGGGCCAAGGTAAAAAAACTCCTATGAGGAATATGTAGGATCTTAGAGGCAGGTAGGAATTGTCTGCACTTTTTGTGCCATGATAGGGGTGAAAGATTTTGGCCCTGTCATATTGTAAATCGAAATCCCAAATCTTCTGTTTGAGTTTGGTTAAGGCTTTATCTGGGCTGAATAACAATATTACCAGTAGTGAGAGGCCACGATAAGGCACATCAGATTCAATTTGCCCCCTCAGGGATGAGGAAAATCTAGAGTGAGGTGAATCAGAGACTCACCTCAAAGGATTGTTTCAGCCAAAATCTGAGACAGCAAAGTATCAGGTGGGCCCAAGAGAAATGCAGCCAAGTTCTACATACCAGGGCATTTGAAGCAAGGGACACAAAGTATGGCTTTCATAAAGTTAAACAGCTTCTCAAGTAGGGGCATCCTTATAAACACGAAGTTGTGCTCTGTCCAACAGCAAGCCCCGACCTTTGCATTATACAATGTTATTGCTGCAGGACAATAGCATTGCCTTGATGACTCGTATATTTTAAGATTGCTTTAGAAACTTTTTGAGTTCTAATAGAAAGTTCACTCAGCTGCTTATTCCAGTAGGTGGAGGGTTAGTTATTTTTCATATAAACCACATGAAGTTTTATTTTCCTCATGTGCAAAATGTCTGAGGGTATTGAACAAATTTGCAGCATTTTTCTGCAGATAAGGCAGCATACTCTTCATTTTATTTGTACAGGGATGGGTGCACAGGACAATATCCTGGTAACTATGCTGAAACCCTAAAATATACCAGTATTTCTACAGCCTGCTCCTTCTTCCAGCTCAAAGAGAAATGGGACAGTACTCTATTCATTTACCAAAAATTACATTGCCACTCATCCCAATTTCAAAGTTCAATAATTGTTAAACAATCTAATATTTAGCCAAAATAAAATATTTTATAAATAAATGCTTGACCTTCCAGCTCCTCAGTACAGCATTGGCCATGCAAAACTCCCAACTCAAAGATTTTCATTTACTGGTAATAGTCTTTTATTTTTATTTACTTTCCCAATAACCAAATCATGACTTTTCTTCAGACAATTAGTGCAATATATTTTCATCTGAGCAGGGAACACTAACCTGATATTTCAGACAAAGAGAGGAGAGGGAAGCACTTTTGGTAAGATGGCATCAGTAGACTTCCTTCAAATGGGACAAAAGAACTGAGATATTACCTAAATAATTCCCAATGTCTCCATTCTTTCCATGATACCAGCTGAGTCCCCCACAAACCAGAACAGAGACTGCATGTGACTCATGTTAATTTATCTTGAGTTATCTAATGTTAAAGTAGCTGTCATATGTCAGCTTAATTACATAGATAATATTTGTCTATTTGGCTTCGGCTTATAAATCAGTATTAAGCCCTCCTCTAATCCATAGTTTCATGCCATTAAGCATTTGCACTTCTTGGAGATGTTCAAAGGATAAGAAGGTTAAAATTTATTCCCCAAATATTCATAGATGTTATTGTCCATAGATAATACATTCAATAACCACATCAAGCTAGAGTAGACAATGTTCTTTTAAAAATTAATTCAAGCAATTATTTTGGAATGGGGAACAATGGGAAAGGAGCAAAGGGGGGGGCAGGAGCCAAACAACTATATAACAAAGCAGTTCAAAACATGTTTAAATGTTTAAGCAGCTGCCATTCTGTCATAATTACAAGCAAAAAGTAAGACATTTCTTTTGATGTTTTATTGGCATTAAAATGGTTTTAACTTTGGCAATAGTTTCAGGGTAAAGACTTCCTCTTCCTTTTAAAATGCTTAGATTTGTTTGTGATGAAGGCTGCTGTTCACACTCCTTCAAATAAGTCAGAGCCAGACAATATATAGCTTCCTGCAGGCTTTGGAGAACTTTGGCCTAGGACAGCCACTTACATTTTCTAAGTATGCGTATGGGAAAGAGGCATTAAATGAAAATATATATGACAAATGCCCCATAAGACTCTTACAATGTCAGAAAGATTCAGGTTGGCTTTCTTAGTCTGCCCAGGGCTTCCAGTTCAAAGATAAACAGGCATTATCTTTCACTTGGCTGGGTTGTCATGAAGACCCAAAATAGGAGCAGTGACTTGTAGCCAGAAACCTTAATCAACTGCCTCTGATGTCAAGCAAAATGTACTGGAATATAAAACAGATTTCAAGATCTCAGGACAATAATCAATGTTTAAAAACCGTTAACTTTCATAACAATTAAAAGGTAGGGTTTTAAAACAAAGATTCATTTCTGGTCAGTTCTGTTGTACTTTTACCATGTCATTTTCAGAAGCCTATCTAAAGTTTGCTGTAAACTATAGTGTCATTTTGGGGAAATGACAGTGCTCTCTTATTGGCCAGTTCTAAGGTTGTTTGGGAAAGCATAGCATCAGTTCTTGTTGCCCAGCTGCACTTCCCTGGTATGGAACATCCTAGGAAGATGATGACCATATTCATTCCAATTCATAGACTAAAAATCCAGAGTAAAGAGTCTTAAGGAGTGCAGACCTAAACAAAAAAGAGCTAAATGCAAGGACACATGCCCAACTCACAGGAGCTTATTCTCTGGGAAGATAATGGACAGGAATAAAATACTATCAGGTAAACATATGGCGGGTCAATTGTACTGATTTCCAGCAAAGAACGAGTGCAATTTACAATATATGGGGATTCCTAAAAGGCAAGTTGGGCCTTTCAGTAAAAACACTGAAGCCCACATCCCTCACCCAGTCACAGCACCCCATGTTAAAAATACATTTCAGTGACTAAACATTATGTTATTCCCATAGTTTCTACTCCAGCCTAGTATCCATCTCTTCTCAGCAGCAGCTGTTCTGCCTCGGAAGGAGGCGCAAAGTAGTATTGCAGGTAGTGGAGGAAAGAGGTATCCAAAACTTTCCTGAACCTGCAGCACCTGCTATCTCTTGCTGCTCCGCCGTGTCTCTTTGCCATTGCTGACTGGGTTTGAGGAGGACCCTATGCCTGATGAGCTTCCGCCTTGGTGGTTGGGCTGACTCCTGGTGATGCGACCGCTGGTAGGATGGGTGGGGATGCTGGGTGGGTGCA